CCTGCGCAATTGATCATACTGAGGCATATCTTGAGGTGGTGGCATAGCCGCCCCACCTGACGAGATTGATCTTATTAGTTCATACTCTTGCGCAATTGATCATACTGAGGCATATCTTGAGGTGGTGGCATAGCCGCCCCATCTGACGAGATTGATCTTATTAGGGCATGCTCCTGCGCAATTGATGATACTGAGGCATATCTTGAGGTGGTGGCATAGCGGCCCCACCTGACGAGATTGATCTTATTAGTTCATGCTCCTGCGCAATTGATCATACTGAGGCATATCTTGAGGTGCTGGCATAGCCGCCCCACCTGACGAGATTGAACTTATTAGTTCATGCTCCTGCGCAATTGATCACTCTGACGGCCTTCGGTCCGCATGCCACTCCGCTACCTGTCCTAGTTCGATCGCATCCCCTAAAAGCTCAACTTGATTCCATCTACGTGTGTCTATGCCTGAACATCCGATCGAGCTTCCTTGACATCTCACATTTTTGCGAGCGGCAGGATCATCATCCTTTCTTGTGAGATAGGTATCAAGAAGGTATCAAAGCCCCACGCTAGGATTTCTTGACCTATTGGGACATAGCCATTGTGACACATTCTTCTAGCGTAACTCGATCTGGTTTGTATTAGGCAGTCTGTGCTCATCTAATCACTGATCGTGTCATTGGTTCAGTTTATAGTTGTTATTTCTCCCGAATGTCTTCCAACGATTTGAGTAGCAGCTGTTTGGTAACCGTGGTCGGATCGATAAGTGCAGACTTCACTTTCCGTTGTAGACTACCCAGATTGCCTAAGCCTGGTGAGACTGTATCCGGTGATAAGTTCACTAAGAGTTGGGGAGGGAAGGGTGCTAATCAAGCTGTCGCTGCTGGAACTCTACTCTCTACCAACGCTACTAATGTACCTAGAGTCCAGATGATAGGGTGCGTGAGTGCTGATGACGGCCTTGGAACTGCATATAGGGATCACCTCAAGGATACTGGTGTTGGTGTCGATTATCTCAACCTCCTTCCAGGAACCAGTAATACCATATATCTTGTGGCCCGGTATATGTCCTTTTTAGGTACTGGCGTTGCGGGGATTGTTGTGTCAGGAGCAGCCGATGCAGAGAATAACATAGTTGTCGTCCCAGGCACCAATGGAATGTTAACTCCGGCCATGGTACTGAGGGCAATTCTCATACCATCTCCCTTGCACTCTCTGCTGCAATACTGCATTGCCTTATCTACTTCGCTATAACGTTTCCCTTTCAGATTAGTGGTCGTCATGAGGTAGCTGCAGTTATTGAAGCTTCTAAGGTAGTGTGAGTCTGTGCGACTCCCCATCCGCTGAGTCTCATCAGTAGGTGCTTGTGCTTCAATGTGAGGTTCCAGTTGACGCTGTTGTAGAGTCCTTGAGAGTAGCGTCGAGATCTCCTCATACTCTCTCATTGCTCAATGCAGCTCCAGCTCCTGTAGTCCCTGGGCAGCAATTGCCTCGGGAAGCTTTCAAGATGGTCGATGTATTGGTTGTTAACGAGGAAGAGGCAGCGGCTCTGGACCTTTTGCTGAATGGCACCAATGACTCCCTTGCCGATGTGACGAAGGATCCCAAAGCAGCAACAGTGTTGGCTGATAGACTGCTGAGGACTTCTGGAGCCAAGTGGTTATGCATCGTGAGTCTAGGTGGAGCTGGATGTGCATATGCTTGTGTGGATGGGAGTAGTGGTGCATTACCCTGCCCTGCTGCCC